AAGCATCGGTGTTGAACACTGATGTCATGCTGTCAGTGATGATGATGATGATGATGATCATTACTTTAATTCCGGAGTCCTTATAAAGATAGGCAACAGTTACAGACACGACTCAGTCTCCATACCTCGTTACTACCTATCTGTCCCCTGCACTCAGCACGGGGCTCGGCGGACGAATTGTAAATGGTAGACGGTCCCCTAGCATTCGGAGTACACGTCCTAGGCGGCATAATCTATGAAAATCGAGTAGCTGATACATAGCGAAAGAGCTTCTTTTTCTAAAGTAACCCGGTGTAAGTTGGCACTACCAATCCGAAATTCCTAGCTTCAAAGACAACAATGGTGATAAGGTTAGTCCTCAATGGCACTCTTGGCAGCCGTCTACCATGCATATAAATTGTTGATCGCACCGGGTGGGTAAGTGTGAACTTTTTCTGACTGACTACAAAAGTGATAGATGTTATTGTGATTTCAAAACTCAGAAAACTTTTGTTAAAAGCCGAGGAGAACGATACATGTGTTTTGAACCTGACGGAGAGCATTAAACTCGGAGTTGGTTTATATAGCCTCGAATCACCAGTTGCCTGGCAACAGCACCACCGGTTGGCACACAGACAAAACCAACCGCCATCTGTTCGTATCACGTGATTTGATATTAACTGGTTTCCAAGGTGATAACATCTTATTGGAAGGTCCGGTAAGACCACATCACGAGATATAAGCTGAGTGATTGAAGGGTGAGCGAGAATCGGTATATGCTGAATGGTAGTCAGCTAGCTCTCCAAATTTTTTAGTCCAAATATTATCAAGATTCGTGAAATTAGCACCGTTCCCAGCAAGAAACATGGGTTCCTCTATGCTTGCGGCAGAGATATGATGAATTACGCGATATCATTCAGGAGTGAGACTGCACTGTCTCAGTGTAAATCTCTAGTAAAGTCGCAAACTGAAACGCGAAGTGCCGCAGGTGACCCAGCAACTCCCACCTGGTTTATCGGCCAATCAATTAACCCGAATTTTACCGCCTGTTTCATTAATTTTCGAACAGCACGACCTATTTCTTTTCTTCTTTTAAGAAGGAAACTCAGCTGGAGAAAGTATAAGAGACTTCCCCATCAGTCTCCTTCCTACAGACAAGTCACTCTTCCGATTTTCCAAACAAAAATGTTCTGCAGGGTGTCTTATATTAAACGCAAAATTTAATTGATTAGCTAAACTTATTTAGTTGAAGAAAGGATAACTAAATTTTTTGTTATTGATAGCCACATATGGGAGATTTTATGTGCAAGTGTCAACATTCTTTTGTATACGATAAATGTTAGTATGCTTATTGAAGTTGTGAAACTCTATTATTTCCTTGGTGAAATCGCCACCTCTGTACTTCGTGGTTACAACACCAAACATGGTCTCATCAATGATTCTCTCACCGTGTCGACCACTACACACTTGGTTGCGAAATTTGAGTCCACTGGATCTGTATTGGATTTTCCTGGCAAAGGGAGAAAGTCTCTGGGTGATGAAAGAGCGCCCATTGTACAGAATGCCATCGAGGATCTTCAGTCCCAGAGCACCATGGCATCTTCATCAATAACTCAGGTGTCTCATTTGACCGACATTTCCCACACCAGCGCGCATCGTACTATGAGACGCCACCTCCATCTCTACCGGTATCATTTCACTTTATTAAAAAACATCACGGAAGAAGACAAGGAGTAACGTGTCACGTTCGCTAACTGGCTGCTGGACAATGAAGAAATCGTTCCCAACATTTTATGGAGCGATGAAGCAATTTTTTCTGTGGACGGCATAATCAACAAGCACAATTGCGTGATTTGGTCCCGTGAAGGAGTACCTCACCATAATCTCCATTCCCTCATCTCTATGTGTGGATGGTATTCACCTCAAAGTATATCCTGTGTCCCTTTTTCTTTGATGCTACGGTTTCCGGCGACAGTTGTCTCCATATGTTGCAGAAGCATGTTATCCCGCAACTCAAGCAGCACAAAAAGTTGTCGACTGCCTTTCAACAAGATGGCGCCCCCGCCCACTACTCAAAACAAGTGAGAACTAACCCCTGAGAGCAATTTTCTGATGAGAGAGTCATTCCTTGTGGGTTTCCAAACTTTTAGCCAACAAGGTCACCAGATCTCACACCTCTGGATTATTAGTTTTGGGGAATGATCAAGGCTTGCGTATATCATGAAAATAAAGCAAAGAGAGCAAGAATTAAAGAGTAGTTTGCGCGAGTGACGCTTGCAGAAGTTAAACATGCTGTGTCTCATATCTCAACCGCCTCCAACTTGTTATAGAAAAGAGAGGCATTTTTTTCAATATTTTTTGTAATACCAGTTTATTTACAGTAAACCTTCATAATGCGTGTATGTTCGCACAAAATATAATAAATGTTTAATTTTAAACATGAATATTACATTTTGCGTTTATTATGAGACACTCTGTATTATGAGCAAATGTGACTTAATCTAAGCGTTATTTTTTAAATCGGGAAAGATCTGTCAAAGCACGTTCACTTTTCCGTATCCGTGTGAGCCAGTGAACCTTGAATCCTGGCAACTAAACATAACGGGGACTCTGGTGCTTCTGTTATCTGGATATCAGGAAATGCCCCTCTTGGCTCCACCAGCGTAGCCCAGTTGGAATCGTAACAAGGCAATGATTGCCGACAGCTGTAACTAATGTATTGCGTCCAACCACTGGGTATTCCCAAGAGGGCGGAGTGGAGATTGTGAATGGAAACCTCGTGGACGTGACCAGGTTGTATATGTGAGGAGGTGAGTCACAACAGTTCACACAGTGCTTAGTCTAAGTGTTGTCTAGACGCATTTAGACAGATTCTTAGCCCAAACCAACGGTATTCTCAAGCAACCTGTTGGCTACTACCACAAAAGAATTCATTTGAACAAAAAGGCACAGAATACGTTTCAATTTCCTTCACCTCCATGCGTCTGATAAGAAAGTAGATTTTGCAATCAAGTGCCACGCAAATGGTTTTGTCGCGTTACTTCATTCAACAGCTAGTATTACCGAATTCACTCATTTCGATTGATCCGGCTACCAAGTTTGGTGAACAGACCGACAACCAGGTACCGACAAAAAACAAACCAAGCCCAATTAGCACGTCGAAGACCTACCATCTAGCATAACCTTTCATAAATTAATGGCGTTAATGGACACTCCACTAATGTTCGTTCCACTTGTCTCAAAAAACATACGGATAAGAATCGATCGTGTTTTAGGCAGTTGGTGTTGGGACCTCATTCCAACCGTAATGTCAGGATAAAAAGTTGTGCAGAATCGTCTAAATTGTTGGTAGGAATTTGCGTTACCTGCAAACCTAACCAATGAGTTCCAAGAAAGATGAAACTCGTAGTGGGTTGTCAAAGATTTTTCAGCAACCTTATGAGTAGTATGTTCACAACTGGCTGAACCAAGAAACAACACATTTTTTAGGCAAGTGTCACGAGCTGGAGATACATCCGTCAGCACCAACTGAGTTCTGGTCACCAGAAACGAATTTTAACTAATACATTGCTTATCTGAGTATGGAGAAATAAGTCGTTGGCCCGTCTGAAAGAGGACTCATCTGTTAAAGTACTCCGTTAATTCCGTGCAATTGGAGTTCGAGCAGAAAGTATGACTGACGGAAACTCGGGGAATGCACCAACCTGATGAACTACAAGAAGGGCGAAACCGGCCGTGGTCCATCAGCAACCTTATGAGTAATGTAGAACCAAACTTGTTCATTTCGGCAGTCTCCAAATCACTTGCA